TTTTTTTTGGTTGACCTTGGGAAATTCGGGGCAAAGGGAGTAGGGCCTTAGGATAGAACTCAGGTTTTTGGTGTGCTGGTACTTTTCTATAAGGGGGTGATTAATAAGTCACTTAGTGTTGGATAGTTTTATTAAAATATTTAAAAGTATTGGTTTGAAAGAATAAGATATGAAAAAAAAATTACACATAAATCTTATAAATAAGTTTTATATGTGTATAAAAATTATATTTATTTATTAATAATTGTGACACATCATGACTTTTGAAAGATAATTAATTTTAAATAAATTATAAAATACAAAGTAGATTAATTTTAGTAATTTACAGCATAAAAATTAACTTTCAAAATTCTATGTAAAACTTATAGTTGATTCCAATTAAAATCCAATACAAGGGGTTTTTTTTTTTATCAACAAACAAAAATTTATTAAATATGTACAAAAAAAATTCCAACCCATCACATAGAATTAACATCTTTCAATAAAATATAAGGAAATTTAATTTCTTCTAACTAGTCCAATGCCGGTTTGTGCTCAAAATTGTCGCAAGATTTATAGCAAACTACTTTGAGGATACTTTAACCACAAAAAGGGATACATATGGTTAAATATAATTTGGATATGGATGGGATCTTCCTAAAAAGTATAAATGGAGAAAAAAGATAGCATATTCTTAGACTGAGCAGGTTCTTAAAAGGTTTTATAAAGAGGAAACTTGACAACTCCATCTGTTCTCCTCCGAACAATAAAACTAGAGGAGATTTCAGTGGCCTTCCTTCAAATTCCACCCCAACAACGAGAATGTGGGGTTGAAATAGGGCTATGATTGTGACGACCATTAAATTTGTTAACGTCATTAATTTAATTGTGGATAAAATACAAAAATTAAAAGGAAAAACATTTCTTCTAATTAAAATTAGAATTAAAGAAAATAAAGTATAAATAGTATAAAAATATGTTATATAATCTGAACTATTTTAAATTATATAACTTTAGTCATTAAATGAAGATAAGTCTTTAATGTTAAGTTTCTTTCCTTATTTAATATTTTTAATTTTATAATAAAATATAATATGAATTATAAAATAAAAAACTCAAACAGTAATTGGATGTGATATTTCTTTCTTTTTTTTTCTTTTTTTTTTTAACTAGAAGAAAGTAGAAAGAAAAACAAGATAGGAATTGAATAAAATACAAAATAGATTAAACAAGAACTAAAGAGAGAGTACAATAGTAATGCAAAGAGAAAATAAAAGTAAGTTTGAAGAATGTCTATTATTTCATTTAGCATCATTCTATTTATACATGAAAAACTTGTAACTCCCAAAGTCAATATTGATTGTTCAATAATTTGTAAGTTTCCATTGGTATATGGTGTAAAACAATCTCAACGCAAAGAAGATAATTGGCTATCCTGGAACAAAAAGGATGTAACAACAATGTAAAGAACTAAATGGTTGTCGTTGAAAATATGAATGTTGAAAACAATTTCAATACAAAGCGAGATTATTAGCCATTTATTACCCATCCGTTGAGAAAAAGGAAAGCAATAGTCATGTCATTAACAGTAAAAGGGCGTAACGAGTATTTCTAACTGGTGCCGGTGCAGGTACATGTTAATAATGTATTTAATAAATTTTTAGTCATTAAATTATATTAAAAAAATTAATTTTATCTTTAATAACTAATTAATTAAAGGAATTTTCTATTCTGTACTTTAAGAACATAAGATAATGATGCATTTATTATATTTTTTTATCATTAATTATGCATTAATTTACATAAAAAAAATAAAAAAGTTAGTATAAATTTTAACATTTATTACACATAAATATTTTTTCTTAGACAATTAGTAAAATTAATATCAACTTTTAATTTTACTATATATATTAATGATAAAAAAGAGTTGCTTCTCCCCCACTCATCTTTCTCAAGTTCGAACTTTAAGTGGGGCAAAGAGGGATTTAAGAAAAATAGAGGGTTATTCCCTCTTATATAGTCCATCTAGATGTATAAAAAAATATATTAATGATAAAAAAAGGTATAATAAATGTGTCCTTATCTTGTGTCTTAAGGCACAAAATAGAAAAACCCTTAATTAAATTAATACATTTAGCTAACGATCTAAATAATTCAGTGGTCATCTTCTTCTACTGGAAATAAGAGATTTTAAATTTAAATCGCATGATATGTGAGTGGGGTGGAATAAGGAATGGGAGACGATTACCTCCCCTTGTGTAATCAAAATAAAAAAACAATAATACATTTGATATTAATATTAAAAATAATATTAATTTTTTATATATATAATTTAAAATTTTAAAAATATATTAATTACACTACACAAGTTAAAAGTATCTAAGGTGTAATAATAACCTTTATTTCATAACATTTTTCAAGTTTTTAAGATTGAAAACGCTATTCTTGTTGAATGTAAAGGGTTTTTTATTTTTTTAAGTATATGTGTGTGTTTGTGTGGGAATTGAATGGCGAAAAATGGCTGGATAGCACTATAGCAGTATAGCACATTAGCACCAAAATGAAAAAGGAAAATGCGTGGGAATTGAATTGAGAAGCTGTAGGAGAAGCATTGGGAATGCCTCACTATCAATGTCGTTATTATTAAAGTTGTTATTTTTTATTTTTAGGATTTGTTTAATTGGTGCACTTAAAACAAAAGTTAAAAAGTATTAATTATACTTTTTATAATTAATTTATGAGAATTTATAATCTAAATTATATCAAATTGTAATATTAAAGAGTTCATCCCTTATTCTAGAATCTCTAGTTTACAATTTGATATAATCTAAATTATAAAATATATTTTTTTAATTTATGTGAAAAAATTAAAAATTAACTTTAAATTTATCACTTAATTTAAATAATCTAAGTGGTGTATGCATTAAAATAATATTTGTTTTTACATTTTTTTGTAAAACTTTATTGTGGAAAATGTACAATTAATACATTCTTTACATATATATCTTTAAAAAAACACTTTTTCAAAGAGTTTGTTTGATATGTATTTTTTGGGTATAAATTAAATGTGTTTTAATGGCACCATTTTCACTCCTCCTTTTGCCCCAAAATAATTATTGTAATTTTACTTTAAATTTATCTTAAATTAATTGTTATTTTTTATTTTAACCTTATTATTATCTTTTTACTTTAATTAATTATCCAATCATAAAAAAAAGTTATCTTTATC